GAACGAATGTAATCTTTCAAAAAAGCATTAAAAGATTCACTAAGTTGTGTGGTACTCATTCCCGCAACCCATGTTGATCTAACATATGGCCAGCCCTATTTTTCTTTTATCGCAAAAGTCAATTTCAATGAATTGTTATCATGCGCATCATATTTCTCAAGCATTTCAGCCTACTCTAACTTCCATTGATTTTCATTTTCAATGTCAAATAGGAATTTATTTAATACACCTTTTGCCCCCTTATCTTGGAACAAACAGTTAACATGTTTTAATGCATTTTGCATCAAATGCCAAGTACACAATCGGTGACTTGTGTCAGGCATAACGATGGGTATGGCTTTAGCCATTGCAGCATCTTGATCGGTGAACAAAGTTTTTGGTGCCTTCCTTGACATAGCCTCTAGAAAGTTTTGAAACAACCATACAAACGATTCGGCGGTCTCATCATACAACAATGCTGCACCAAATATAACTGTTTCCCTGTGATGGTTGAATCCCACAAAAGATGCGAATGGTCTATGTTCTTTGTTTAACTTGTAAGTCGTATCAAATGTGACAATATCACCAAATTGGGCATAATCCATGATCATTTGTGCGTCGGCCCAAAACATATTGGTTATTTGCTCCTCATTATCTAATTGAACAGCATAGAAGAATGAAGGATTTTGCAAAGATTTTTCTTTAAAGTATTGCAACACATTGCCTACTTCTCCATATGCTAAACTTTGTTGTCTTTTGGTTCTCAAATAATTTTTAGAATCTAACTTCGTAAAACCAAGATATTGCCTTCCACCAGCTTCCCTACCCATGAGTTCAAAAGACTGGTCTAAACGAAGACCAGATTGTGTTGCTAAATCTAACTGAATTGCTTGGGTAGTTGATATCTTTCTTTGTGACGGCAACATGTGGGCACACTCGGGTGATACAAGATCATGGTTGTGTTTTTCTTTGAAATCAGTCACAACATATTTTCCATTACCCTCATGTAATTTAATATAAAGTCGAGCCTCACACCCAGTCCTAGTTTCAGCTCTAGAGTTTTTTGACAATGGGTCTCGCTTGTCAACCTTTCGAAATCCCTCCTTGTTGCAAACCAAAAGTCTATGAATAAGTTGATTAGTGAACTTGTCCTTCTTACAATAATCTCTTCTTATGCTAAACCCCATTCTTCCTCCATATGTATTATAAAATTCATACGCACATTGTTCAGAATCAAATATCATTCCCAATTTTGGCTTCCAATCACAGTCATTCTCAGGTTCCATATCGATATCAAAATGCAACTGAAAACCCATATAAATAAAATCTTAAGTTAATGATAGTTGAGCTTCTTAATAAGATTGCAGGGTTGCTTAGGTTGTAGTGCTATGAAAATGAATTGAAATTGGTTTATAGATGAAATTTATCTGGTTTATAGATAGGACCATATGTCATATAAGGAAAATTACTGGAATTAAGGAAATTGAATTATTAAAAACCAGATTAAATTAATATAGATAGGACCATAAAAACTAGATTAAATTAAAAACCAAATTGAATAGGACCATATGTCATCCTAATTTTGATCATATACTGACATATGGTCCTATTAAATTCCTTATATGACATATGGTCCTATTAAATTCATTTCTTGTTAAAAACCAAATTACTATAAAATTAATCTAAAAACCAGATTAAATTAATACTCTAACTGGTCTGCTGGGAGGCAAAACCTAAGTATGAATTAGTTGTATTAGTTGAATTATCCACTTTTGTGCATTCCTATATGGCATGTAAGTCAATCATAATTTCAGAATGAATGAAAACAGAATCTCAAATCGATACAATTTCAGCCTGGAAGAAGACTAACCTCTGCTTTGTTTGTTTATGAAAATAGAATGAATGAAAACAGAATCTAGAACAGAAGACTAACCTCTGTTTTGTTTAATATTACATGTTTGTAGACTAACTCTTTCCATACGAAAATGCCCCCATCATGTTATTGGGATGATAATATTCTCTTCGTAAAGTAAAAATGTTTATTTTGGTCTCCATTAATTCCAAGCAATTATTTCAAAAAATGTGGGTATATTCATATTTGTAGGTCTCAAATCTCAAATCGATACAATGAAAGCAGAAAGGAAGAAGACTAACATCTGTGTTGCCAAGGACCCACCCAGACAGAATCTGGAACGATTTGAGACTGGGTTACCGTCGTCGGATCAGCAATGACGTCGATAGTGGGTCGCCGCCGGTATTGGGTCGTCGGTGAGGGTGGGTTTGACGGAGGGAATGGGTGAGTGTAGGCTGTGTGAGAGGCTGTGTGAGCTGTGTTTTGGGCGTTGAGAGCTGTGTTTTTGTTTTGGGCGGAAGATTGACGAAATTTCATTTTTGATTTTTTTTTTTATAATCTCAGCCGTTGGATGACCAACGGCTCATCTGAGCCGTTGCAAGCAGGAAATGGAGGACCCTCCTCAAGGAGAGGATCTGGACTCCTTTTAATGTGGTGGGTTCTTTGACGACAGCTTTTGCATGTCCATTGGTTTTAATTTTTTTAGGAAATGGTACCTGCCCAATATATTAGGAAGCATCATAAGCATCATCACAGGTGCAAAATTGTAATTTTGATTTAGAAAGTACTTTACCTAACAATGCCAACCATCTTGTTAAGTATATTCACAAAGAAAAAAAAAAGGAAGCAGCTTGTCTCCAGGGAACCCATCACGGGTCTCGTTTTGATAATCCGAACTGTTCAATGTGTAGAACTCCTTGAATACTATATACTTGTACAAAATCACGTTGATTGGATATCGATAGTTATCTCATCGGATCAGTTTTTGTCAATTGTTAATTTATTCACCGTCCATTTTTTTTTTTATACAAAATTGATTTGATTACATAACTATTGATAACGTGATTTTTTATAAGCATATAGTACTCGACTAATTCTACACATTGAACGGTTCAGATTATCAAAACGGGACCCGTGGTGGGCCCCCGCTGGCCGAACAACACCGTTCAGTCCGCTTCTCTGCCTGTTCCTTTTGTACAAACGGTGGGCAGCTAAAGTACAACTCACGTGACATGTGAGTTGTACTTTTTTTTGTACAATTAATTTTTTTATATTTTTTTTGGTGAATAGTAATAACTTTTTGATTTTTTGACTTTTTTGAAGTATGCCAAACTAGCCCTTAGTCCTTATTTGCCATATTGGTTGGGTTGGTTTTTTTTTTTTTAAATTAAAATAGTCACACAAAATAAAATAGATTAAAAAATTAATAAGACAAAATGTTATATTTAAATCATAATTATTTTATTTTTTCTCTTATAAAATCTAAA